GCAATTTGGACCTCGGTCGTCCGGTTCTCGGAGGGTCAACTAAATATCCTTACCCTCGTAGAGGAAGAACGGGTAGACCACCTTCTAAGAAAGGTAAATTCGATACTTAACCAGATAAGCTAGATTCGGGTTGACGTTGTTCGTAATAAGTTTTAATATTTGTGTTGAGATTCTTATAGATCCCAAAAGTGAAAGTAGATTACCAGACTCGAGTAAACCTACGGATGTATATGTTCCGAGAGATGAAAGATTTGGTCATTTGAAGATGTCGGATTTTCTTGCTTATGGCTTAAAATCTGTTTCTCGATCGATAAAACCTAAACTGGAGGATCTATTTGACACGACACCCGGGGAATTTGACGACTTTAATGATGTGTTTGACCTGTTTGAGAAGGGGTTGCCAGTCCCAAGATCTTTGCTTGAGGGCATCACTGAGAACATTCCAGCTCCATTGCTCAAAGAAATCTTTAGAACGGATGGTGAACGATTTCTTAGGTTCCCAACTCCTCAGCTAATTCATGGTATGTTCTTCTTGTACTATGTTTTTTTCGTGGTTGTTTGCTGTCTTTTTAAGGTAGAAACTAGATTTGTTTCTTGTTCTCCACTTCAATGTTTTTTTGTTTTTTTTTTAAAAAAAGAATATCTATGATCACGTGTTTAGAGATGTTCGGGATGAGGACAGAGAAGACGCTCATCCTCATACTTCAATCTCCATCATTGCAAAATTCTACTTGATTTTCATAGGGATCCCGGCGAGGATTTCTCGAGAGGAGTTTTTTCCTTTCTTTATTAAAAAAAAAAAAATCATTTGCTTTTGTGAAAATATGACGGGTAAGTCTTGTAGTCAAGCTCCCTTCTACCTTTACCCTCAAGGACCAATTTTTGCTTGGCCCGAGGAAACCTTTGCATGCATTTGTTACCTTTTGGGAGGCCTACACCCCATAGAAACGGTCTACATGAGACTGTCCATTAGCCCGCAAGTCCTAACACAATGTTAGAATTCTAGCTCTTCCCGAGTGGTCTCACTGATGGCTTAGGGCTCCTCGGGAAGGGATGTTCTTTGCCCTCCACCTAAGCTGCGCAGAAAGGCCCAAAGTCAATCCTAGGGAACAGTGAAGCTTCATAGGGTCTTTCTGTCCAAGGCAGGTAGTTCGCATCTTCACAGACATATCTATTTCACCGAGCCTCTCTTTTAGACAGTGACAAGATCGTTAGTCTTTTCGTGTGGGTCGAAACTTACCCGACAAATAATTTCGCTACCTTAAAACCATTATAGTTACAACCGCCGTTTACCTGACAAAAAATTTCGCAGCCGTAATAATAATTTTTTTTTCTTTTCAATGACGTGAAATAGAGGATAAATCTGCATGGAGAACGGACGAAGAATTTGCTAGAGAAATGTTGGCGGGAGTTAACCCCGTAGTGATTAGCCGTCTTCAAGTAATATTTTTTTATAATAATAATAATTTTTTTTCTTGTAATTTATATACAATAATTAAACTTATAACATGTTTTAATTACAGGAATTTCCACCTCCAAGCAATCTAGACCCTACAATTTATGGTGATCAAACAAGCAAAATAACCGAAGAACACATCAAAGGTGGCTTAGATGGACTAACAGTGGACGAGGTAATCCAAGAATTTAGAGCTTATTTTAGCATTGGATTAAGCTTTTCTCAACACTTTTTGTTTAATAATTTGGTTCAATTAGGCACTGGAGAAGAACAAGCTATACATTTTGAACCACCATGACTCGTTGATTCCATATCTTAGAAGAATCAATGGAACTTCCACCAAGACTTACGCTACAAGAACACTTCTGTTCTTGAAAAATGATGGGACTTTGAAGCCATTGGCTATTGAATTGAGCTTGCCGCACCCTCAAGGAGACCAATTTGGCGCCGTTAGTAGGGTTGTGGTACCTGCTGTGGAGGGAGTTGAGGGCTCCATTTGGCTGCTGGCTAAGGCTTATGTTGCTGTTAATGATACTGGCTTCCATCAACTCATTAGTCATTGGTAAAGCTTTCTTATATCATGATTTAACTCAATGTTATGCATTTAGGTTGAAAAAAAGTAGGGTTTTTAATGAAGAAGATCGTTTAAGGGGTTAAGTTTTTCCCGAGGGCCAGATTATGGGAAAAATATTGGCTAGCGGTAGGTTTGAGTTGTTACAAATGGTATCAAAGTCTGCCACTAGGCGGTGTGCTAGCGAGGATGCTGGCCCCCAAGGGGTGGATTGTGAGATCCCACATTGGTTGGAGATAGAAACGAAACATTTTTTAGAAGGGTGTGGAAATCTCTCCCTAGATGGCATGTCTTAAAACTTCAAGGGGAAGCTAGGGAGAGAAAGCCCAAAGAGAACAATATTTGTTAGCGGTGAGGTTGAATTGTTACAAATGATATCAGAGCCAGCCACCAGGCAATGTGCCAGCGAGGATGCTGGCCCCCAAAGTGGGTGGATTATGAGATCCCACGTTAGCTGGAGAAGGGGAACCAAGCATTCTTTATAAGGCTGAGCGGGGACGCTGGCTCCCAAGGGGGATGATTATGAGATCCCGCATTGATTGAAGAAGGGAAACGAAGCATTCCTTATAAGGATGAATGAGGACGCTGGCCCTCAAGTGGGGTGGATTGTGAGATCCCACATCGGTTGAAGAGAGGGAACGAAACATTCTTTATAAGCGCGTGAAAACTTCTCTCTAGCAAACGCGTTTTAAAACCTTGAGGGGAAGCCCATAAAGAAACAATTCGAGTTTAGGTAGTTTTACAATTGAAACTATTTTGATAAGCTTGATTTTAAAAAATTTCACACTTTTCGTTCTTAAAGTTCGAGTTGAGTAGCATTTTAGTTCCCGAGTTATCAAACTCGATGGATTTCATTTCATACTTAAATTTTTTTAACTTACTTCCATGGCTCATAGGCTGAATACTCATGCAACAATCGAGCCATTTGTGATTGCAACAAACAGACAGTTAAGCGTTATTCATCCGATCCATAAGTTGCTCGTTCCTCACTTCCGGGACACCATGAACATCAATGCTCTTGCTAGACAATCCCTCATTAATGCTGATGGTATCATCGAGACAACTCATTATCCCGCTAAGTATTCCATGGAGATGTCTTCCTTTGTTTACAAGAGTTGGGTCTTCCCCGACCAAGCTCTCCCTGTCGATATAATCAAGAGGTATTCATTTCAAAACACATTTAATTTTGTCATTCATTCGTTCGTTCGTTCACTCACTAACATTCAAACCTTGTGTTTGTTAAGAGGAGTTGCAATGGAGGATCCAAGCGCCCCACATGGACTTCGACTACTCATAGAGGATTATCCATACGCCGTCGACGGTCTCGAGATTTGGTCAGCCATCAAAACATGGGTAACAGATTATTGCTCGTTCTACTACAAGAACGATGAAACACTCCGTAACGACACCGAGCTCCAATCATGGTGGAAGGAGCTTCGAGAGAGAGGACACGGCGATAAGAAAGACGAACCATGGTGGCCAAAGATGCAATCAATTCAAGACCTAATAGAAAGTTGTACAATCATCATATGGATCTCCTCAGCTCTTCATGCAGCAGTTAACTTCGGACAATACCCTTACGGGGGTTTCTCTCCGAACCGACCATCGACAAGTCGTCGACTGCTACCGGAAGAGGGCACGCGTGAATACAAAGAGCTCGAGTCGAACCCCGAGAAGGCGTTCTTGAGAACGATAACTTCACAGTTGCAGGCTCTAGTGGGAGTGTCAGTTATTGAGATATTGTCAAGGCATTCTTCTGATGAGGTGTATTTGGGACAGAGAAGTAACCCTGAATGGACTTTGGACAAGGAGGCTTTGGAGGCTTTTGAGAGGTTTGGGGAGAGGCTAGGGGAAATTGAAGGGAGGATTGTTAAGAGAAATAAGGATCCAGAGCTGAAGAACCGAGTAGGGCCTGTGGAGATGCCTTATACTTTGCTGTTTCCTACTAGCTCCGAAGGGCTCACTGGGAGAGGGATTCCTAATAGCATTTCCATTTGAATGGAAGCTTGCTTTGATTTACTATCATTGCATCACTTTCAGCTCATGGAGTGACTAATAAGTAATGCAAGCAATGGCATTTATGCATGTTTGAATGGGTGTTTTTTCTACTTTTGTGTGCATTTGTATTGATGAACTTTGTGCAAGGATTGATGATTTTTAATAAAGAATTGGTTTGGGATTTGAAGCTCCCTGTAACGACCTAGATCCACCGCTAGCAGATATTGTCCTCTTTGGGCTTTCCCTTTCAGGCTAGCCCTCATAGCTTTAAAACGCGTCTGCTAGAGGAAGGTTTCCACACCCTTATAAATGGTGGAAGGTTTCCACACCCTTATAAATGGTGGTTTGTTCTCCTTCTCAACCAATGTAGAACATCACATTCCCAAAGTGGAGGAAGAGTTTATATAACTGTTATCGTTGACCTGTGGTATGTATTGGCAAGTTTGTAGGAGTTGATTTCGTGAATAATGGATTGGAAAGAGAGGAACGAGTGTCACCAAGAACACTCAGGCCCCAAAAGGGTGAATTGTGAGATCTCATATTGGTTGGAGATGAGAACGAAACACTACAAACACAATTTAAAAACGAAAAACCCGAAAGAAAAAGCCCAAAAAAGACAATGGATAAGTCTAAAAAGAAGAGCCCAAAAGTAAAAAATAAAATAAATAAATAATGTCTACTAGAGTGCTATCCAATCTTTCATAGTTAGAATTGCTCGATAAGGATGGAGTATCTAAATCAGGCCTCTAGTGCTTATTATCCTATTTGATAAAAGACTAGAGGTCTCTTTCCATAACAATTTAAGAAGTCATGTAAATAGCACACTTAATCAATCTAACAAAACAATTTGCATCTCACAGTTCAACGATATTTCCTACCTTGTTTGGGGTGTGGGTCCTCAAAGTTTCCCAGTCCAACCTTGAATTGACATCTCTAATACTATGAATACATAAACTAATGCTCATGGTTAGGCGGTGGATCAATGATTAAAAAGAACCCATAAATAAACCACAAAGATGAATGTTCATAATCTTTCTAATCCACAAACATAGAAGTTAATTACAAAGAAAATTATTTCTTCACTGTCATCAGAATAGCCAAAGTGGCATTCGAAAGCAGAGGAAATCAGACCTGCTCGATCAACATTAAGAACATGCACTCAAACAGACCGCCTACATCCGTTCACCAAGCGATCAAGTTTAGTCAGAATTTGCTATGAAACACCAAAAAGGTAGGAAAATTTATACCATTTTCATGATCATGATCATGTTCATGTTCATGTTCATGTTCATGTTCATCAATGAATTCAATTATCATGTTGCTGTCTTCAATTCTGGAGAAATGTCAGTAGTGGCATAAACAGGGTGAAGAACGTGTCCTTCCTTCGGTATAATGTGCACCCACTTCCGTCCGCTCAGCTTGTGCTTTTCGAACTTCACACAGCCTTCTTTCAGAGCAAACAGAGTATGATCCTTCCCTATTCCAACATAATCTCCAGGATGAAAACGAGTGCCCCGTTGACGAACAATAATGTTACCAGGAATAACTCTCTGTATCCAATCCACAAGGATTAACTCTCCATAACAACGTTCATAACAAAACAATTTCAAATTCAATCAAATTTCTTTACACCAAGTTTCAATCCACTCACCTCACCACCAAATTTCTTCACCCCAAGATTCTTAGGTTTCGAGTCTCGTCCATTTTTAGTCGATCCAGCGGTCTTCTTTGTAGCCCAACGTCTGAATAACAAGCTTAATCCACCCGCAGATCCATCTGAATCTCAATTGAACAAACATTTTAATCATCAAATATACGGACGCAGTAACATTTCAAGCAGAAGTTGATCTAGATGAACAATCCTTACCGATAAAACTACTATATACAGGAACATTGGTAACCAGATCCTTGACATTCAGTCGCTTGCAAAAGGTAGTCGCGATATTGAGCATGATTGAGAAACGATCGGAGAGTGACGGATGGCGACGGCGATGATCGGAACGGAGACGGAGAAGAGAAGGAGCTCGAACAATGGTGGGGCAGCTGTTGAAGGAAAAAATTTAGGGTTAGGATTTTCTTTTCGTTTTAAATTGGGCTGATGGGTCTTTTATTAAAATTTATTTTTGTGTTCTAATGGGCTCTTGGGCTTTTTTCTTCCAAAATTAGCTTGTCTGATGGGCTTTTTATGCTTAGCCCATTATTATATAAAAAACTCTAGGGAAACGCTGGATATTGAGCTCACCACCGGCGAATATAATATTGTTCTCAAGCTTTCCCTTTCCGGCTTCTCCTTAAAGTTTTAAAATGCTACTAAGACGGTACTGCATCTACTATGGAGACTGTCTAGCCCTACTTTGACTAGTTGTCTGGTGACTGGCTCCGATACCATTTATAACCGTCCAAACTCATTGGTAGTAGATATTATCTGCTTTGCCCCATTACATATTGCTGTTAGCCTCACAGTTTTAAAATGTGTCTGTTAGGAAAATAAGGAAATGTTTTCACACTCTTGTAAGCAATGTTTCGTTCCGCTCTCCAACTGATGTGAGATCTTACATGTGACCGATCGAATATTAAAGTATTGTTTACGATTAAATTCACCCTAACCTATTAACTTACAATGTTATATAATTTCTTAGTTAAAAATATATCTCTTAGCCACCTAGTTTAGCCTATATGTGTGAGTTCTCTGGCTTGTTACGGTAATATCCTCGAAGCTAGAGAATAAATTCGGGTTTATCTTATGTTAAACTTTTTCATAATTAATTTTACTTCAAAAGCCCTTCAATTTTTACTCTTAAGGGTCAAAACGAACCATTTCATAAATCAAATCTCCCCAAGTAGGATTCAAACCTACGACCAATCGATTAACCGACCGCTCTACCAATGAGTTTTTGAGGAACAACAATAAATTAGGTTTCAGATAATTCAATTCCCGTTCTCAACCCATGACCAATATGAGCTCGAGGTTTCCTTCGTAACTCCTGGAACTTCTTCGTAGTGGCTCCGATCCATGCCTCATTTCATTCTCATTCTCAACTAGTTTTGAGATGAATAACTCATGTATCTAATATGATATTAGAGCTCATAAAGCTCAAACGTGTATTCCGCAAAATGTACTCAAGAATGGTAAACCCAAAGCAGGATTCCACATTGGAAAGATGAAGAGACTCATGAGTTATTCCACTCATTGCCAATTCATTTTGAAACGAAATATAGTATTCACCTAATATTAGTTTGTGAGATCATTATTGATTGGAGAGGGAACGAAACATTTTTCCTAACATTGTAGAAACATCTCCCCTACAAACGTATTTTAAAAACTATGAAGTTGATGATGATACGTAACGGGCCAAAACGGACAATATCTCCTAGTGGTGGGTTTGGGCTGTTACAGACGGAATCAAAGCCAGACATGAGAAGGTGTGCCAGCAAGGATGTTAGGCCCCAAAGGAGGTGGATTGTGAAATCTCACATCAGTTAGAGAGGAGAACAAAATATTTTTTATAAGAATGAGGAAACATTCCCCTAATGGACGCGCTTTAAAAACCGTGAAACTGACGACAATATGTAACGAGCCAAAGCAGATAGTATCCACTAATAGTGGGCTTAGGCTGTTACCGTCACACACAGTTAAAAGATGCCTAAAAAATATTCATAATTTGGATATCTTAACGTAAATTCTAGAATATCTCTAACATGATTCAGAATCACATTTGCTATCATATTCATACAGCCTATCATATCAATTACAACAATGATATGTCCAAAACATGACCCAAGTTCAACCTTCTGGATTGTCATATATTCTCTCTAAGTAATGAAATATACAGAATTTGATCAAAAGCAACGCAAAAAATGTGTATGAATCTAAAAGCTTGCATTGAAATCATAATCAAATAGATAAAATATTGATGAAAAATAAGATCCCAGCCCTTCATGTTCTATCCCTTCCTAATATTAACCTCACATGATTGCATGTGGGACACCCAAATACACCACTTTTCAGAGACTCACATGATAAATAATGTAATAAATTTCAATCAAAATAATAATAATAATCAAACCCAATAGAGAATGAAGAGAATAGAATAGAACAGAACAGAGAGATGTGTTTTGAGTTTTAACCGTAAAATCACAACACACCATGTGATCATTGCTTTGACCCATCAACTACTTTTCTTTGACCATTCAATCAAAGTCTAGTTAATGTCTCTCCTAATCCTCATATTCTTCAAACCCACTCAATCCATCGAGATCACACTACGACGGTTTTATAACATTCACTCAACCTATCATTAATGATCACGATATGACGGTTTTATAATAATCACTCAACCTATCATCAATGATCAAAATATGACGGTCTCATAATAATCACTCAAGATCACAATATAACGGTCTCATAATAATCGGTTTGTATTTCATAATGTGAACTATTGATTACAAATTTAACCTATCGAGATCACGATATAACAGCCTCATAATAATCACTCAACCTATCATCAATGATCACGATATGACAGCCTCATAATAATCACTCAACCTATCGTCAATTATCACGATATGACGGTCTCATAATAGTCACTCAACCTGTCGTCAATGATCATGATATGACAGCCTCATAATAATCGGTCTTAATTTTATAACATGAACTATTGATTATGAATTTGAAGTATTTCTAACAGCACTCAACGATAAGACGTTAACAACAACGTGTCCGACTCATCAAATAATTTATCAACCAAACCCCTATCCAACAGCACTCAACGATAAAACGTTAACAACAATGTGTCCGACTCACCAAATAATTTCTCAATCAAAACCCTAAGTGACAGCACTCAACGATAAATGTCAACAACAATGTGTCTGACTCACCAAATAATTTCTCAACTAAATCCCTATCTAACAGCACTCAACGATAAAACGTTAACAACCATGTGTCCGACTAACCAAATAGTTTCTCAACCAAAACTCTATCTAACTACACTCAATGATAAAACGCTAACAGCAACGTGTCCGACCTATCAAATAATATCTCAACCAAAACCCTGTTTGTCTAAATTTCTTTAAAAATGGAGTTTCTTGTAGAATTCCTTGCCATTTTTGGGATGTTTGGACTTCAAAGTGAAGTTCAAACACAATGAAAGACACAGCCATTAGAGAAGCTAAAAAGAAAGAACTTTGTTGGATGAATAGGAGGGGAAATGGTGCAAGTAACAAAAGGACAGAGGGAAAGAAAAGGTTGAGTTATAGATCCCTTCTCTTCTAATAAGAACAAAAATGGGCAAATAATTGCATGCTTCCCCCTTCTGAATGAAAAAAGTGGCAAATTAAAGCCCTTATTCTGCAGATACCAACAATTTAAAAGGGGGGAAAAAAAAAGAATTTTGAAACAAAGCATTTGATCTATTTGTAGAATTTGAGGTGGGACTATGAGACACATACCTTCCACGTCATAAACAGCTAGCAAGCTGTCTCCCTTCCATTATTTCCTTCCACTTCCCCAGATTGAATGGATGCCTCTGTTTGTCTCTCTCTCTCTCTAACACATAGAAAAGAGAAGATCATAGATATATATATAAAATAGAGCAGCAGCAGCCACAGCAGAAGCATTCAGCACAGTACACAAAGAGGTGAGTCCAATGCAAAGAAAACGATAGATCTTCACAGTGGAAAGGCTTGAAATCACTAAATTTTACAGAGAGATGGAAAGAGCATCATTTTTAACGCTTGCCCATGTCTGCAATATCAAATATTATCCCCTAAATGGGCACAAACTCCGCCACCCATCTTAATTTTTTCGATTAAACCGGCTTTTGGTTGTAACAGTCCAAGCCCACCGTTAGTAAATATTGTTTGCTTTGATTTGTTACGTATCGCCATCAAGCTTGCGATTTTTAAAACGTGTCTATTAGGGAGAAGTTTCCACATCTTTATAATGAATGGTTTGTTACTCTCTCCAACCGATGTAGGATCTCACAATCCACTCCATTGGAGGCCAACGTCCTCGCTGACACACTGCCCAGTATCTGGCTCTGATACCATTTGTAACAACTCAAGTCCACTATTAGCAGATACATGCTTTAGGTTTTCTCTTTCACCCTCAAAGTTTTAAAACGTGTCTGTTAGAGAGAAGTTTCCACACGCTTATAAAGAATGTTTCGCTTCTCTTTTCAACCAAGGTGAGATCGGTTGTTCTCTAAACCAATATCAAGGGTGAAAACCTATCAGCCACATCATAATGGCCTCACTGGATAACTTCTCGCCTACAAAACTCACTAATAAAAAGGCCACAATGTCTTAATTGGGAGTAGAAGATGGTCAGTGAACAGTCTCTACCACCCACAAGCATCATGAAACCTCAATCATATGTTATTTAGTTATACCGTATAATGCCCCGCTAGAATCCCACTCTTCTGCATCTCTTTCTCGCAATTCAACCCAACTATCACTCTCACAGGCATTTTCACAAACACCTTGCCCGCAGCCCCATCTGACCTCACATTAAATGGACGAGAAATGGAATCCATCAAAGAAGGAAGGTTCAGGAAGTAGTTACCACCATTCTTCGTCGTTCATAAGGAGTGGCTCGACCTCCAAATCGCCATTGTTGCGATGTTCTTCACAGAAAAGCTTCCCAGCTTCCAATTCCAAGAGCCCCCACGATCTCCCTCGAAGTTACTCTCAAAAGAACTCTTCTTCCATAGGACGAAAGTACAGCAGCTTAGCCAAGGAACAGAAGGCCCGATTCTACATCATGAGACGCTGCGTTGCAATGCTCGTCTGTTGGCACAAACATGGCGATTCGTAAGCAAAACAAAAACAAAAAAGATTTTCCACCGCTTCAGAGATTTGATTTCTTCCCCTCCTTCACCCGATTCAGATCTTGAGATCCTTCGAGAAATTGATGTAAATTTTTCCGCAACCCCATCGAGAAGAAGGTATGAACTCTGTTCTCATCGATTAAACTAGATTCAAATTGTAATTACATTAATGAGTTGATGAACTAAATGCCATCCGCTTAGATAACATCAATCGATCCCCTCCTGAATTTCTTACGAGATTTCCTTTTCTTAATCCATAATTACAGTGTTCTAAACCCTTTTTCAATGAGAAGAATTAGATTGATTGGAACTTTACACCAAGGATTCATACATGTATTTCTTCAAGAGAAAATTTTTAAAATATATTTGGTATTTAAATTCTTTGTTTCAAGAAATAATATTTTAGTTTTCAGTTTTAATAATAATTTAAATTTATTTGTACTATTATTTAACTTAATTAAAAGATTTAAAATTTTTAATTTATTAATTTAAAAAAAATTATAAACATTTAAAATTTGCAAATATGACAAAATAATTGAAATTGGAATTTTATTTTTCGTTAATTTTCAAAAGTATGAATTATATATCAAATTAAATATATTAATCATATGAAGTACATATATTAGATATATCTAAGTATACCAATATTCATATTCGGTATAGCATCGGTATATCAACGCCATAAACAAGTATATCAATGTTATTGATTCCTTCAATAATATAACAAACCAAGTATATTAATTATGAAACCCGAGTAAAAGAGTAGTACATGAATAAACCAAGACCATATCTGAGAGCGATCATGAGTATAGAATGACTAAGAAAGGCTTAAAAAGTAAATGAAAGTTACTATCTATACAAACAAGGTGCACTTCTTTCTTAGTGGCTCATAATAGGTACGTGATGTCCCACGTTAGTTGGGGAAGAGAACAAACCACCGTTTATAAGGGTGTGGAAACCTTCCCCTAGCAGACGCGTTTTAAAGCTTTGAGGGGAAGCCCGAAAGGGAGAGCCCAAAGAAGACAATATCTGCTAGCGGTGGATCTGGGTCGTTACAAATGGTATCAGAGCCAGACACCGGATGATGTGCCAACCTTCTCGCTATTTCTCGAATGGGGTAGATACGAGGCGGTGTGCCAGTAAGGACACTGGGATATGGGGGCGGTCCCAAGCCCAAAGAGGACAATATCTACTAACGGTGGATCTGGGTCGTTACAAATGGTATCAGAGCCAGACACCAGACGATGTGTCAACCTTCTCACTGTTTCTCGAAGGGGGTAGATACGAGGCGGTGTGCCAGTAAAGACACTGGGATATGGGGACGGTCCCACATTGATTGGAGGAAGGAAAGAGTGCTAGCGAGGACGCTGGGCCCTGAAGGAGGGTGGATTGTGATGTATATGGGGGCGGTCCCACATCGATTGGAGGAAGGAAAGAGTGCTAGCGAGGACGGGCCTTGAAGGAGGGTGGATTGTGATGTCCCACATTGGTTGAGAAGGAGAACAAACCACCATTTATAAGGGTGTGGAAACCTCTTTAAAAGTCTTGGGGGAAGCCCAAAAGGGAGAGCTCAAAGAGGACAATATCTGCTAGCGGTGGATCTGAATCGTTACAAGATACTTCATAACTAAGCGTGTTTTGCTAGGAGCAATTGTATGTCGAGCAGCCTTCTGATAATTTTTCTAGGATGCATGTGAGTGAGAATAGTCTTCACTCTTAGAAACGAGGAGCAAGTAACATGATCGTTTCACAGAGAAGGCAAGAGAATGTCGAAGTCATCAAGTGTCGAATATAGATTTCAAATACTGGGTATGGATCGTTTATTAGAAATGGATGAATATAAGATCCAAAGTTGATAATTAGGGTAATAAAACACATATTAAGTTAGCAATTAAGCCATTACAATTGATGTCTCCAAAGCAATCTTTCCAGAAAGCCTTCTGTTCTTCATCTTCTCATCCACTTCCCACAGCTCTGGCAATGCTTCTCTTATATTATGAATGCTTTCAAGTGCATAATCCACTCCATTTCCTCTGTTTGATGATCCAACCTGCAAAACCCATTTCTTTGATTCTTAAATTTCTGTTTGGATTCCGAGAAAATTCTCCAATTTTCTCACTTTCCATGATTCTGCTCGAGAAAATGAGTACGAACTCACCAGCACTGTGTGGAGGCCAATGGATTTCCCTGTCTTTATGTTGCGGATGCTATCATCAAAGAAGAGCTGCAAAACCCATCATTTAAATCTCTGGTTTTACATTCAGAAAATGGGGTGAAAGGGAAGTTTCTTACTGTTCTTTTGGGGTCAATGTTGGCTATCTTGAGTGCAGATTCAAATGCATTTGGGGATGGTTTGCAGAGAATCGGTGTGGCGGGGAGCGGCGGAGGAGTGTCATTGTCGACGTCGACGTCCCCGGTCGAGCTTTTCGAATCGGATTCAGAGCCATCATCTGAGGAGTTGAGAGTCTCAAAGCATATGACCCTATCAAAACAACCCTCCAACCCAAGCCTATTTAGAACTTTAGCAACATGAACATCGTCCGCGTTCGAGAAGATCTGTTTCATAGCCAAAACAACTTGTTAGGAATCACGGATCTCCATGATAGTATGATATTGTCCACTTTAAGCATAAACTCTCGTGAGTTTGTTTTGGGCTTCCCCATGATCATTCCCTAAATTAACCAACGTGGGACTTCCTCACCAACAATCCTCTCCTCGAACAAAGTACACCATAGAGCCTCCCGTGAGGTCTATGTAGCCCTCGAATAGCCTCCCCTTAATCAAGGCTCAATTCCTTCTCTAGAGTCTCAAACAAAGTACACCCTTTGTTCGATACATGAGTCACTTTTGACTACACCTTCGAGCCTCACAACTTCTTTGTTCGACATTTAAGGATTCTATTGACATGGATAAATTAAGGGCATGACTCTGATACCATGTTAGAAATCACGACCCTCACTTTAAGCATAAACTCTCATGGTTATGCTTCGGGTTTTCCCAAAAAGCCTAATAACATGTTAAACTTGCTCGCTGCGTATATATAAATTTGAAATTCGATCGACTCGGAAGGAAAGTTCTTACGACTTTGCGAATCGGCAAACTAAGCAAGAGAGATCTCAGAACAGGATCGCGCTTGAGGTTATGATATGGTAATCTTCCATGAACAAAGCTGCAAAGAAGAATCAAAGATTCAATAACAGTTTGATCCAAAAGGATAAGAAAAAGAGAGACAAAAAGAGGATATGAGTACCTGTGATAATGATCATTGTCAAACTCATAGCCAATAGCCTAAAAAACAACACAAAAAGTTTGAAACTTTGAAACAAATATCAACTGGGTTTGTGTAAATATGCATAAATTCGTTCAAAGATTGCACCTTAAGGCCAGCCATGGATGTCCCATAATTCCTGTACAGAAACTGGTTCATCTCAGCAACTCCATCTTTCTCTATCCCAAGCTGCTGAACCATGTACTCTGTCAAAAACAACGAACAACATGAGAAGGTTGAGGATTGTTGGAAGGGAGTCCCACGTCGGCTAATGGGTTTATAAGTAAGGAATACATCTTCATTGGTATGAGCCCTTTTGGGGAAACCAAAGGCAAAGTCACGAGAGCTTATGCTTGATCCTCAAATGTTGAACAAATGATGTACTTTGTTCAAGAGCTCTAGAGAAGGAGTTGAGTCTTGATTGAGGGGAGGCTGTTCGAGGGCTCCATAGGTCTCAAGGGAGGCTCTATGGTGTATTTTATTTAACGGGAGAGATTGATAATACGTACCTTCAATGTTTTTGGTGCATTGTTTTGACAAACCAGAAGTAAGAGGGTAAAGGGTATCGTCAACATCTGCCAAATTAGAAGAACATAAACATGTTTAAGCTGAAATCTAAGCTTTTAGTGTCGTAATAATAGGGTTTTTGAAGCTACGGGGCTTACCAAAAAGAAGACACTCATATTTTTGGGGTCGAGATTGACGAGATTGCTGGTTTTTACATTCCATTTTGAGCCTTAAAAAGGGTCCAAAACCACCAAAGAAAGAGAGAAAGGGACCAAAAATGGGATTAAAAAGGGTTGGAAACCACCAAAAATGGGTGCAAAATGGATAGATGAATGAAGGAAGAGAGGAAATGGGCGAGTATAAATAGGGGAATTTGGTAGCAGAAATTGAGAGGAAAAGTCATTGGAAGACAATTCCATTGCTTAGAATGATACAAATTCTAGAAAATGGGGCCCAATTCCCACCCACCCTTTGATTGTATATAGCCTAATAAACATCACCATCTTTCTTTTTGACTCAGCAAATCAAAGTCACCGTCTTTTTCATTTATTCGGTCTCTAAACTTTTAAAATAGTTTTTGAAAAAGCATCGCCACAGGAGATCCCAACGAGGAACCTGGGTCCTAAAAGGGGTAGATTGTAAGGGGAGGTCTAAAAAGGACAATATCCACTAATAGTGGTTTGGGCTGTTACACGCTCTAATCCCACTTGAACGCTCTATACCCATAATTCAGGTCGAAATTTGAAATCTTGATTCAGTACCTAATGGTCCCAGTATTCATTTACATCCCGAGCAACATAATCATGGATTCTTTTAGCTTGTTTTGTCCCTCAATCATATGTTTTTTTAGAAAAAGTTCATCAGAGGTTGCTTTAAACCAAGCACACTTAATTTTCGAGTTTCTATGATTGTGCCACCGAAAAACAAGGTACCACCCTCAATATGCTTAGCTTGAAGCAATTTTATGTTAGTTATCCCTAGAAAGGACAAAATATGCTAAAAAAAACTCGTGTTAGTTTGTGGAGATAGTCTTCAATCCTAGAAGCATTTCAAGATAAATAGGTAATTCTCGGGATCTTCAGGCACCGAATTCAGATTCTAACTTCTGGGTATGAAACGTTACATTATATAAAAACGATTTTCAAGTCATACGAGATTAGAGACCGAAATACGAACATTTTAAGGCCTTGGATGCCCTTTCACCGTCAATCAATAAATACAAAATATTATATCATAGGAAAGATCACATTATATTATCTTTATCATGAAAGTGAAATATGGGATTTTTTTAATACCCAAAACCTAACTTACAATAGACAAACATCCTTCAAGACAAAAAGATTTGATCCAAGTGTTCAAGTTTAGTAGTTAAAATATATAATTATTTTGTTAAAAGAATATCCTTCTTACACTTGTCATTATATGGGACTTTTGTTTTTTTTCGAAAAATATATAATAAATTTTTTTATTTCTTCTATTTCAACGACTATTTCGAGCCATATTTTAATTGCACGAGATGCTGCAGAAGTAAATGCATCATGTTGAGACTGAACTTAGAGATGATCAACCTCACAGATTAAACTGATGCAGTAAGTAAACTTACGATTGGAACGCCTATAGACTAGATTGGATGAAATTGTTTGATATTTGAACAACACGTTCTCTATGATTCTGTTTACGTAGAGTTGATCAGACATGTCAGGCATGCAGTGACGTCTCTTATTGATAATTTTATATATTTATATAATATTAATGAAATAAAATAATTTTAATTGGGTATGTGAAAAATAATAAATTAATGAGATTTAAAGGAAGGCCTAGTCATATTAATTAAAATAATAGAGGGCTGGTACAATTATTGAAATTACATGACGTGGCAGAATGTTATTGGATGTTACTTCCTTAATTTTCATATTCTAGAACTAAGTGTAATTTCTTTAACTTTTTCTTCTTATAAATAAACGCGTTTCTCCCCTTTGTTATTCTAAATAAAAAAAATGTTTTATTTAAATAATTGAGAAAAAAAAATAGTTTTATTTTTTATAAAATTTTATATTTTTACGTTTGAACTTTAATAATTTCTGGCCGGTGTCCTGCTCTGATACCATTTGTAACAATCTGATATTGTCCATTTTAGTCCGTTACGTATCGCCGTTAGCCTCACAATTTTAAAACATGACTATTAGGAAGAGATTTTCACAACATTATAAAAAATGGTTCGTTTTCTCTCCAACCAATGTGGGATCTTACACCTCCAGTCGTATAATATGTAAATATGACAAATATTTTAGCTATTGATTACAAATTTCGCATAATAATTTTGATTATAAAATAAATTTTTTTTGTTCATACTTACATTTATGTAATATTAATGATATTGTCATATGTATGATTTTCGTTAAATGCACTTTAAGAACTATAATGAATTTTAGTATAACGTTAAAAGTCAAAACAAAAGCGCCAAACAAACATAAATGTCGCATTAGTGGTAGTTGTAATAACCATAGTTGTGGTACGAACAATTCTCAATAAACTTTTAAATTATATTATTGTAGTCGTTGAATTTTTAAATTTATTCTAGTTTGATCGGAGAATTTTTAAGTATTTTTAAAATTAACTATATACTCAGATTAATTTGATTCAACTCAATCTGATTTTTAGAGAAATCCATGAACAACTCCGTTCCATAAAATTTTCATTTATTTGAACTCAACTAAATAAGTTCATAACCCAGCGATTTGTATTGGATTGATCTGAGTTTTTCGAATCATCGGGTATTTTGAATTTCCTCGTACTAAAATAGACTATTAAAAGTGTTAGATCTCACATCGGTTGGAGATTGGAACGAAACATTTCTAAAAATTGTGTGAAAATCTCTAACCGTGAGGCTGATGACGATATGTCATAGTCAAAGCAAACAATATCTACGAGCAGTGAGCTTGAGTCGTTAAAGTTTAAAAGTACAATGATCAAAATAGAATGGAAACTCGGAATAGAACCAATTTGAAAGCTTGGGACCCAAATGAAACTTAAACCTGATAATAATTATTAGACGATGTTCGGGACACATGGCTAAATATCGACATGTCTGTTGTTTTAATAACCTAGAATCATAAGTCACATGTTTTTGTTGGAAACGAATTGGTCTTTTTTTTTTTTTTTTTTTTGGTTTGATGGTC